GTGTGCGTGCGTGTGTGTGTGTGTGTGCGTGTGTGTGTGTGGTGTAAGGTGTGTTGTGCAAATCTACTGTAGTCTCCGTCTGTCTGTAATTACTGTACCTGTATTCACGCACATATACGCCGAAATATACCCTAAACGAGTCATAATCACCTGGGTGTAGTGGCCGATGGGCTTTGGCGTGGGAATTGACAGGTATTTGCCCACCAGAGTTTTGGGGACGAGCTCCACTTCATCGTAGAAGGCTTTCAGTGCTTGGCTCCAAACCTGTAAGTGACAGGGAATTCAGCTGTTGGAATTAGGTTAGTATAGGTATCGTGAATTAGGTTGAGATTGAGAAGAATGTGTTTTAATTGTATTTATTGTATTTATTAATCACTCACTTATTTATTGATTCAGATGGCCAGTTGTGGATTAGGTTTAGATTGAGAAGAATGTGTTTTGATTGTATTTATTGTATTCATTAATCATCTATTTATTTAATTATTTTGATATTCCATTGTGGATTAGGTTTAGATTGAGAAAAATGTGTTTAAATTGTATTTATTGTATTTATTAATCATTTATTTATTCATTTATTTAGATAGTCCATTGTAGACTATCTCCATTCTCTTTCTCTTCTCTCCTCTTCTCTTCATCTGTCTGTCTCTCTCTCTTTCTGTCTGTCTCTGTCTTTTCCTTACCGGATCTGGCTGGAACGCAAAATTCCAGTACAGATTTTGTCCCACGAAGCCGCCAATGCTAAATGCTTTTCGACAGTCCGGGCAGTCGTGGTTAGTAGGACAGGTACTGCACCAAGCCTGTGGAAAGCAGTTGATGCCTATTGAGCGGTTGTGGTTTGATACTATTGTACAAAATTTGCGGCTCAAAATTTGGATTGTGTGCACGTGAGTTTTTGTGGATTCGTATTTATATATACATGGGGGTATTAAGAGAAAAATGATGTATGTGTGTGTGTGGGGGGGGGGAGTGAGTGTGTGTGTGTGTGTGTGTGTGTGTGTGTGTGTGTGTGTGTGTGTGTGTGTGTGTGTGTGTGTGTGTGTGTGTGTGTGTGTGTGTGTGTGTGTGTGTATGTGTATGTGTATGTGTATGTGTATGTGTATGTGTGTGTGCGCGTGTGCGTGTGCGTGTGCGTGTGCGTGTGCGTGTGCGCGTGCGTGTGTGTTTGTGTTTGTGTTTGCATGTATATACATATATAACACATTTACATAATATTATAAAACAATTCTCTCACAAAAAGACCCCTTTTTACCTGCGCTATATCGGCCAGCTCTTGATTCCAGACCAACTCCCTCATGTTGGGCGCCGAGGGCTGGGGGCCGGGGGCGCCTCGGGTCTCCTCCCCCGGGCGACCTGGGGGGGGGGTTATCACTTGGGGGCGGGACTGGTGTATGTGTGTTTGGCTTATACACACAGACACACATGCACGCATACACATGCACATACACACGCACACACACACATACACACACACACACACACACACACACACACACACACACACACACACACACACACACACACACACACACACACACACACACATATATATACATATATACATATATACATATATTCGCGTGTGTGTGTGTATGTGTATGTGTGTGTGTGTGTGTGTGTGTGTGTGTGTGTGGTGTGTGTGTGTGTGTGTGTGTGTGTGTGTGTGTGTGTGTGTGTGTGTGTGTGTGTGTGTGTGTGTGTGTGTGTGTGTGTGTGTGTGTGTGTGTGTGTGTGTGTGTGTGTGTGTGTGTGTGTGTGTGTGTGTGTGTGTGTACGTACGTGTGTGTGTGTGTGTGTACGTACGTACGTACGTGTGTGTGTACGTACGCACGTATGTGTGTACGTACGCACGTATGTGTGTACGTACGCACGTACGTTGTCGTTATTTGTGATTGTCCTTATTTCTCTCTCTCTCTCTCTCTCTCTCTCTCTCTCTCTCTCTCTCTCTCTCTCTCTCTCTCTCTCTCTCTCTCTCTCTCTCTCTCTCTCTCTCTCTCCTTATTTCTATCTATATCTCCCTCTTTCTATCTTTCTCTCCCTCTTTTATCTCTCTCCCTCTTTCTATCTCTCTCCCTCTTTCTATCTCTTTCTTTCCTCTTTCTATCAATCTCTCCCTCTTTCTATCTCTCTCCCCTCTTTCTGTCCCTCTCTCCCTCTTTCTATCAATCTCTACCTCTTTCTATCTATCCTTCCCTCCCTCCTCCTCATCCCCTCCCCATCTCCACCCTCCTTCCCCCTCCCTCTCCCTTTCCCTTCCCTCTCCCTCCCCCCCCCTCCTCCCCCTCTCACCTTAGCCCTGTAGTCATTATGTTCCTTCAATATCAGATCCTTCTCCTCCTCGTTCACGCCTTCCCTGTGTATGCCGCACGCCTTGTTTTTGGGCAGACAAATGGAGTGAAAAGGGGTGAAGGTGTCTTTATACTCCTTGCAGTCGCGGGCCGGTGGTGGCGCGGGCGGGGCGGGACCAGGTGCGGGCGGGGCGGGACCAGGTGCGGGCGGCGGG